AATATCAACTGCCTGCCGAAATAGCCTTTTCGGGACGGGAAGATCTTTTCAGCATTTAACAAAAAATGATGAAAAACTTTGGAATCACCTAAAAACTAGTATTTCCATGTTAACATGTGGTCTTTTACATAATTTTGGTGAAAAATTGTTGTTTTGTAACATTTACAATTTTTTAGTTAACCCTTTCTCCCATGAACATATTGTGAAAAATGGCCGTTTTCACTGAAAAGCCTCCTGTTACAAGTTCAAACTGCTATGAAACTATGAAAAAAGCTTCAATACTAATCAAACTTGGCTCAAATGTTGACTGGACCATTGCCTTTGTAAAGACATGCTCAGTCTTAAATTTCCTGTTACCATGGCAACGAGGGGACATCTCAAAATTGCCAAAAATCACTATGTTGCCTCGATTTTTTCCATCAAAATTTATTTCAAAGTGCTGCAACTGCTCAAGGGATTGAGATAGAGTCAAAGGCTTTTCAGCGTTGGTAAACGTTACATTATGATTGACCTCGGGTCATTTTTAGCCTCTCACAAGTCCAAAATTTCCTTGGCGATGAGGGGGACTCCACCCCCCTTCAAACCCCCCTAACAGAAGGGGGCACATCCCCCTTCTGGCAACCCCCTGATGTAACTTTTGGATGGGGGCGGCGCCGAAAAAGTGCTCAATTTTTTTAGCAACATTTCTCAAACGAAAACTTATGTTGGGGGTCCAAATAGGACATTTTTTCACTATTTGATGCCTAAAAAGGGGGGGGGGTCGAAAGTGCGTTGTTTCGCGTATATATGTGGTAAAGGGTTAATATACATTGTAATAATGTTCAGTAAATGACAATGAGTTTTACATTCTTACATGTATATTAGAAACATACTACGTCTAATGGGAAAAATCACAATTGTTTATTAAATTGAAGTGCGCAACAGACGCCATTTCACATTTTTGAACTGTTGAAACAAAAACTATTTAAGCACCATATATTTTTGTTTATATTGTTACGATGGTTGTTATGATGGTTTGTTACGATGATTCTCATTAAAGTTCTATTACAAAAGAAATATAAAGCACTATTTGCCTAGTTGAGAAATAATTTAATAACCAATTACTCGGGTATATTATTTTGCTTGCTGTCCTCATTACTGAATGAAGGTATTGTGACTGTTCATGCTTACTCAAAAATGGAATAGGATTTCATAAAAACGAATTATTATTTCGTAAAAACGAGTTAAAATTTTGAAAAAACGAAATATTTCGTAAAAGACGGATTACTATTTGGTAATTACGAATAAATATTTCGTAAAAACGAATTATTATTTCGATAACGAATTAATATTTCATAAACACGAATTATTATTTCGTTAAAACGAATAAATATTTTGTGAAAACGAATTAATATTTCGTAATTACGAATTGATATTTCGTAAACATGAATTGATATTTCGATATTACGAATTAATATTTCGTTTAAATGAATTAAGTCCCGGGAAAAAGTGTGGAAAGTGTCACTTTAGGGGCTCCGTACAATTATGATTAAGTTTGTTAGAAAAAGATTTTTGCTATTAAAGTCAGAGATGAGCGTGCATAATACCCAATTATGAGAAACACACGAGCTGCATATCTGGAACAATTCTGATACTTTCAAGACATTTATGAGAGATGGCATCTAATTCCATCAATACCTACACGATATAGAGAGTTCCAACAAACCTAGTATTAACAAGATCAGGAAAGGTTAAATAGATAAAAGTATCTCAAAATATTTACAGTTCCCTTTATATGATGTATGAATGATGATTTAAAGAAATCAGTTTTAAAATTATGTTACTGTAAAACATTTGGAAACAAAGTGATCCCTCGGATGCATTAATCACAACAAAATTACAAGAGAAATGCAAATGTAATGAGTAAATACAATAACAACTTTGGTGAAATTATCTAACCTGAGTATTTCTATTAAAGTTCAATAAATATATATAAAATATTCAAATAGATCTGCTTATACGAAACAAATACCAATAACATCATGTCTGATGTATGTGAAGCATATTTTAAAGAGAATAACGTTGTGTTATGTCGTGAATCATATCAAATGTATGTTAACAATACATAATCACATATAAAAAGTTAACAAGGGCATGCAATTTTCTGAATCAATTTTATAAATTCTTGAACAAATTAATGTATTATCTCAACAGAATTTCGCACATAAAACTCGAAAAATGATTTTTTAAATTTATTTGTGTCACTAATATAACTTTACTGTTTTTGCTTCGCTTTTTCAATTTCGAAATAAAACGTTCATAACATAATCATATACTTTCTACATATAGTCTCTATAATATAATGATATTTTGTCAGTTTTAAATTTTCATTGAAATCAACATCTTTACTAAAACGTTTCATGCATCATTAATACGGAATGCAGATATTGTTTTTCCTACGCTTTTTTTTTGAAATACCATAATGCATTTATACATTGAGAAATAGATCTACTATTCGATAAAACCATTAAAGCATCAAACTTTTATATATAGAAAATTTATATAAGGTAAATTCATTTGTAACAGTGACATTACAGTTTTGCCAATACTTTGTCTAAGGTTCTTACTGACCGGGTCGCCTGAACAAGTGGGCGGAGCGATCCCTTCTCTGGCGTAATGTCAATTAAGTTCCTGCTGAGAATTATGCAATGAAACAGGAGGCAGCTCGCAGTAAACAGAACCAAGTACGCATTAAGCAGGACACTGTCACGTATGAAATTCCATAGTAAAAAGGATGATCCCCTTCATTTACAAATAATTCCATTCCATGCAGAATTCGTGTTGTTGCATACGACCGTAAAAAAACTTTTAACTCTATTTAACGCCTCTTTTTGATTTTCGGGTATATATAGAACAAAATGAAATAATTCGGTTTTCGTAGGTAAAGCCGAAGTGAAGTGACTGTTCATCTGAATGAAGTGTTAAATTACGGTCAGCTTGGTTTTTCATTGTCGTCTGAATGGCGATTGTAACACGATAAAACAACGCGAAATCGAAATGCAAAACGAAAAATCCCGCTTGCTTGCGGTTCATCCTGTGATATATATCGGATGTAAATAGGGCAAAATATTGACCTAATTTTTGCGGCCTTTTCCCCTCTTAAACGTAGTAGTAAAATCGCGAAAATGCGTTGCTGTTCTACTGCTACATTATTACTGCTACTGCTGTGCTACTGCTACTGCTAAATTCAGGTTTTATAATTTTGCTACTGCTACTGCCAATTTCACGCTTTATAAATTTGTTACTGCTACTGCTGAGCTACTGTTACTGCCAATTTCACGTTTTATATTTTTGCTACTGCTACTGCTGAGCTACTGCTACTGCCAATTTCACGTTTTATAATTTTGCTACTGCTACTGCTGTCCTACAAATTTGCTACTGCTACTGCTGAGCTACTGCTACTGTCAACTTCACGTTTTATAATTTTGCTACTGCTACTGCTGTGCTACTGCTACTGCCAACTTCACGTTTTATAATTTTGCTACTGCTACTGCCAATTTCACGTTTTATAATTTTGCTACTGCTGTCTTACAGCTACTGCCAACTTCACATTTTATAAATTTGCTACTGCTACTGCTGAGCTACTTCTACTACTGCCAACTTCACGTTTTATATATTTGCTACTGCTACTGCTGAGCTACTGCTACTGCCAACTTCACGTTTTATCATTTTGCTACTGCTGAGCTACTGCTACTGCCAATTTCACGTTTTATAATTTTGCTACTGCTACTGCTGTCCTACTGCTACTGCCAACTTCACGTTTTATAAAATTTGCTACTGCTACTGCTGAGCTACTGCTTCTGCCAACTTCACGTTTTTATAAATTTGCTATTGCTACTGCTGAGCTACTGCTACTGCCAACTTCACGTTTTATAAATTTGCTACTGCTACTGCTGAGCTACTGCTACTGCCAATTTCACGTTTTATAAATTTTCTACTGCTACTGCTGAGCTACTGCTACTGCCAAATTCACGTTTTATAAATTTGCTACTGCTACTGCTGAGCTACTGCTACTGCCAACTTCACGTTTTATTAATTTTCTACTGCTACTGCTGAGCTTACTGCTACTGCCAACTTCACGTTTTATAAATTTGCTACTGCTACTGCTGAGCTACTGCTACTGCCAACTTCACGTTTTATAAATTTGCTACTGCTACTGCTGAGCTACTGCTACTGCCAACTTCACGTTTTATAAATTTGCTACTGCTACTGCTGAGCTACTGCTTCTGCCAAGTTCACATTTTATAAATTTTCTACTGCTACTGCTGAGCTACTGCTACTGCCAACTTCACGTTTTATAAATTTGCTACTGCTACTGCTGAGCTAACTGCTACTGCCAAATTCACGTTTTATAAATTTGCTACTGCTACTGCTGAGCTACTGCTACTGCCAACTTCACGTTTTATAAATTTGCTACTGCTACTGCTGAGCTACTGCTACTGCCAACTTCACGTTTTATAAATTTGCTACTGCTACTGCTGAGCTACTGCTACTGCAAACTTCACGTTTTATAATTTTGCTACTGCTACTGCTGAGCTACTGCTACTGCCAATTTCACGTTTTATAATTTTGCTACTGCTACTGCTGTCCTACTGCTACTGCCAACTTCACGTTTTATAAATTTGCTACTGCTACTGCTACTGCTCACTGCTACTGCTAACTTCCTACCGGTTAAACTAAATATGACTAAAATATCTATTATTAGTAACTTGCCTACAGTCGAATTAAATTACAATTTTTGTTGTTAGTTCTTAAAATGAAATGAAAATAATTCATATCTGGTATGTATTAACCATGATGAAATTATAAAAAAAATCTTATAAAAGTATGTAATGTAAGAACCGTATCAATAACCCATATATTTTGTACTTTCATTTCCCTAAATTATACTCTCTGTAATATATTTGTCTATGATCAAATAATTTAGTGAGTCAATATACATTTTGTTTATGTTTTTTCAGCCCTGAAAGTGACGATGAGATGCCCACAAGCAGGAAGATGAAATGTGAAAGCTTTATGGAAAGTAAGCTAGAAAACCTCATTATTGTTTTTACTTTATAATTATTTCTGTTCTTTAAACAATTCTGATATTTGTGATTCTTTTCTTATTAAGAGTAAAAATATACTAGTATAATTATACTAGTATAAATGAATATTGTTAACCAGTAAAAGTCTTACAATTTTGGCTATTGTTATTTAAAATATATATAACATGTATTCATTTTATTGATCTTTGTATCTAAAGACAGTATAAAACTTCTTAAATATCCTTGAACTTTACCTGTAGAAACGCTAGATGGTTTTCTATCTAAAAGAGTTTGATGTCCTTTTCAGAGATCGCTACAGTCAAAATAAAAAAAATAACTATCTCAAAGAAGAAAAAACGTAAAATAGAGCGGATCCTGAATTTAAATTGATCCGCATTTTGTTTATACTGTTATTTTTATTTTAAAAAAATATCCCTAAAGGAACTGTTTCTTTTGTTCCTTTACAAACAAAAGTTGTTACAACTTTGAATATGTCCAAAGTAAAGAAGCCTGCAACAGTCTTGATAAGTTTCATTTAGCACTGTAAACCAAACAAAGGCTCATTTGACACTTATTCGTTAGTGTTTCTGTTAGAAACGATCATGATTCAAGAGAGTTGTGCCAACTTAAAAATGCACAAATGAAGCAATGCGTTTGATTAAATAATGGTCATTTCATAGACCATATCTCATAATTCGTGAACGGGAGAAACCTGGCTTACATCACAGGGTATATCAGTTACTCATTGTAATTTATATTAATGTGAATAACAATAAATGGATACGTCGACCAACATGTACATTAATCTTGTAAATAAAAGTAATTTGCGAATGGTGTTAAAAAGATCGTAACATATCATGGATAATATTAATTTACCGCCACTAAAGAGATTATATCAAATGATTTAAGGATTTTCGTATAAAAGGTATCAAAATTTAAAAAAGATAGCATGTAAAAGTATTCGTGAATAAAATTTACACTTCGACTTCAATGATGTAAAAAGACCGGAAAGTAAACGTTTTTTGGAGAAGTTTTGCGTCCAGTGTAAAGCTAAAATGTATTGAGATATGACAGGTGTAGTTACACATATAAAATGAGAACAAAATTTTAATATCAACAAGGCAAAACAATGTTCACAGAACGCAGCTTCTGAGACTACATAGTCACATTAGTAAGGCACCAAGAAGGCACCGAATCAAAACAGGAGAAGCCAAAAGGACAGGGAATGAAGGAGTGGGACATGCTATGCTTACAACTATTACAACTTGGTTACAAAAATGGTTTTTAAGTTGTCATTATCACATTTCACATGAACTGTCAAATGTTTTGGGTTGTTGTACATAAGGACAAACCTAGCAATTCTTTTCTATGTGTTCGAATTGTCCTGAAATTGTACCCAAATAGTTCTTGTTCTGTAGCTTACCTGATGCTTTATTAGATATATTTCCTTTGTTAGATATATCTCCTGACTGTGATAGTCCTGACTCTGCTGACTCCAGGAAAATATGTGACTCTTTTAACAACAGAAGAAAATGTAACTATTTGATATTGTCTTTACTTACTTTAATGGTGCGTTCATTTTCTATATTTGAATCAGACTTTATTGCAATGCTTCTATATGTATATATGCAAGTAGCATCACTTTTGCAAGATTACTGTTTCTTCAAAAATTACCTTCCCATGTGAGAACCAAATTATGTTAATAAATGATAAAACACTTTTAAAGGCAACACCGCAAATTAAATACAACTTAAAAAACAACTCTAAGGGCGATGAAAATACGTGTCGCGTTGTTTTAACACAGCTTACTTTGAACAAATAAATGCCTTACTTATAGATTTCCTTCTTTTTATACGTTTATTTCAACATTCACTTTTGTTTGTCACATTGCTTTTCTTTATTCAATGTTGTTAGAATTATATTTACTGGAATTAAAATCTTTTTGAGTACAGTTGTATAAGCTCTAATGATCGAAATAACCCCTTTTCATACTTCTGTCGCAAAGATATGCTCATGTTCCTAACATCATCAAAATTTATCAGATTTATTCAACTTATAGCAAAATTCAATTGTAAACATTTGCTACATCTGTCGTTATATTTCGGCCGATTTAATTTGTTCAGTCAACATGATACTAAACCTTTTAAAATTGAAGTTTTTACGGCGATATTTATATGGTTCAATTACTGTTCTGTAAGTTTTCTTTTTCTTTTTGTCAACATTACCAAATAGATGTTTGCGAAACGGTTATACCTTGAAGTTACTTTTGAGCAAAAGTATGTGAACTTTTCTCTATTTAAATAATTGTTTCTAGGAAATGTATTTAAAAATGTAACAGTTAACCGTTTCACGCAATTATATTAATAATGCTTAGTTTTTATAAAAACTAATAAAAACATTAGAAACTACACAATATCAGACGTTTCATATTTCTATAATTGATGTAGAGGGCGATTATTTTGAAAAATAAGACCATTAGTTGGGATCTCTGACTACCGAAAGTACATCGGGCCAAGAACTTTTTATCAATCCTCGTATGTTGGCATTGTTTGGAAGTTTGATAAGTTGTTGCATGCTGATAACGGATATATACCTGTATGCTTTTTTCCCAACTCGAACATAATATTTATCACACTTTGTTATATATCTTTGAAGGAAATTTAATTTATAAATCCAAATTTTCATTTTACTATACTTTTCAGATCTACACTTTGGTCCAAGAAAGAAAGACAAATTGAAGAAAAATGTGAATATAATGGTTGTTCCGCCAAAAACTACAAATGGGAGACACTCGCTTGAGGTAGAAAAAATGTTGAGTTGTTTGTACGAGGGTTGTTCAAAACATAATAGGACTGCAGCTCTACTGTTCACATTTTTTAATTTACGAACATATTTTTACAAGAAACAAATATCGGAACATGTTCATGACAATAAATTTATAAACTTATTCCAAAATTGTAGGAAAAATCTTACGACCCCTATACATATGATAATATTCTAAACTGGGTGAAATATAAAAATGCAAGACTCTCAGTCCTATTACTTTTTGAACAACCCTTGTATAATAATCCAAACATATTTCTCGATTTTTTCGGTTATTGACACACTCTTTCTAACAATCGTAAGCTCCCAACTTGTCTTTGCATGCAGCAAAATTGTCAATTCGATTTTTTTTATATTTTAGATTCATATTTTTTTCTAATATTTTTTTCCTGAAAAGTAACTAAAACAAAGTATTTTATCATCAATTTGAGTTTTAATTTTCAAAGTATCATTGATATAAAATCTAATGTGATTGAACAAGCATAAAATTAAACTATTTTTTGGAGTTTCTTGTGTTTCATGTAATTTTATTCCATCTTACACAAAAGTTAACAAATATCCTCTATCTATATATGTATATTTTCTATATTGTTGCGCCTCTGATGACAAAGATACCATTCTTGCTTTATTTCCCGTATCTTGTCATTTAACTATTGATTTATACACATGTATTATCTCATATAAAAATACATGTATAGTACTGACTGAAGCGATCAAATAGTCAAGGAGAAATTTTGTATAGCTTTAGACATTTATACTGTAAAATTACATTTAAAGGTGATTCCACACCAATATTTTCTCTTGGATTGAAATCCTCTTACATCGTTGCCAATTAACTGTTATTTGCATGCCATTAAAGTGTTTGTGAAGACTCTCGTTTGAGTTTTTGACGTACGGCGTATTATTGGATTTTTTATTATTTTGAACATTCAGAAATTAAAAACAACTTTACAAAAGAATTGGAAGATGTTGAAGGAAAAGCTGGAACCTACTGCTTTAGCTGAGAAACTTCAAGCAAAGAAAATTCTTAGCGATGAAGCAATAGAAAACATTAACAAATGTCTAAGCCGCCAAGGAAAGAATGACACACTCATACAAGAATTATGTTCGATTGAACCAAACAGTGCGAATTCTTGTATAGACTACGAAGCTACATTTGTTTCTCTGTTGAATGACACCAGTCAAAAGGACGTTGATTTACAGCTTTACCATCCAGTAACCAATGTAGTGAGGCAAAAATGTCAAGGTAATATCAATTTAGAATTGCGGTAGAGGAATAACACTTGTATGTTCAAAACTTTAAATTTAAATACTTTTTTAGATGATTACAAAATAGACAAACAATACCTACGAACAAACGTGGCACGGATTCACTCGTCGGTAAATTTTTTATATGCCGCAGCTAATAAGCTGGTCCGTGAGAACAATATTTAGTTTGTATTTGATGGGTTTGGGTCCTTTGGAAGGGATCGAAAAACTGTAAAACAAAAGATGTATCAAAGATATACAAGCGACGTTTTACGCACGCGTAAAATAAAATGGCACCTAGACGAATGTCTTTGCAGTTGTTGAAATTAAAGAGGAAGCGTTACAAAACGAAACGTCCGTACTTGTAGTACTAGTTTTAAAGAGGACGCGTTCGCTTAAGTCAAAGTTGTATTGTGCCAGGAATCCGATACAATGTGTCTAACCAAAATAAAAAAAACACACACACACACACACACGCACGCACACACACACACACAAGACCTCGCTTTACTATATAAAATGCAACTATTAAAGTATTGGAAGCCAAACATATATGTCCGCACAGCACTATTCCAATAATCTAAAAAGAACAATACAAAACTTTAAAGGGTATAAACCAATATCTAATGAAATATTTTTATGAATCTATCAACAGTAAAATTATATTGGTTCCATTATTATATACTTGATTCCCGAAAAAGTTGTGACATAAAATGTCTCTGTTATTTAACACAGTGACATGAATAGTGTACATAAACAGAATAAAACAGAATAAAGTGTTTCGGAACAAAATATTATTTGCTATCTTAAGTAGTGTTTTATCCATTTAGCAATAATTTAATGCATGCTTTATTCACTTTTGAGGCAATAATATACCATGTTTATTTCATACAAGCATTTTGGAATTATTCTTTTTTAAAATGCAAATAATAATTTTTGCAGCAGATATATAGCTTTATACACTTTAAAAGATAGTTATATAAATATATAATTTCTTAAAAACGAACTTATTTCTTAGATAGATGAAATATTAAACTGCAATTTAGCAGCCTTAACACCGATGCGTTTTGTCCAAATGCAAAACAGTTTCCTTTTAGGTGGAAACGTGTTAACGCATAATTTAATTTTAGGCTAGTTCCCGGTAAACTACCCTCATTTCATGATATCAAACAGGTGCACAGTCCATTATTTGTATACGGAGATAAGAAAACATTGTCTTTCCATTTGAAGAAAATGTAAATCAAAATATTTTGCAACATAGCTTGAAATCTAAGATAGGTCTCGAAGTGTAAAACTGATGTATGTGAATGTTTTTATGTACCGACTTGCACAATAAATCGTGCCATTCCGATCCGCAGTAAAGCATGCGTCTTATTCAAAATCAATATCAATTTATATTTATTGTTTTGCTAAATGCATCTGTGTACTACACACAGCTAATGGGCATGCAATGAAGACTTGCAATCGTGTTCAATGTCAACGGGTCACAGGTTAGAAAGAATGCGATTTATTGTAATGTATCGAATACGTATATATTGGAAGGGATCATCTTGTGGGTGAATAAGTAGGTATACAGGAAAGGAAAATTGAATTGACAGTTGAAGTAATAAGGAGTATTAATAATAATAATAATAATAATAATAATAATAATAATAATAATAATAATAAAAAAACAAAAACAAACAAAAACATGCATGATTTATTTAATTATTTTTCTATTAATTATATTCATTAATTTAAACATATTTTTCAATACAATTTATGATTCACCGTACGACATATGCAGTTTTATATGAAGAAATTTGTTTTCAAACTTTTTATCAATGTTTGTTAAATGGACATTCGATAGCACCATATTTACTTTGTTTATGATGCATTGCCTACAATTGTTTTCTTTTCATGCTGATAATTCTTGTAGAAAATATCAATATTCTTGATAAATTTGAAAATATAATTAAAGAAGTTAATTTAAAATTGAATTTTGAATATGCCTTATAGGGTCCAGAGGTGAGTATAAAAATATCCGATGCAGTTTTTTTATATTTCCTTCTTTGATCCATGTTATAAATCATTTCCCTAAACACATTACATTATATTTTACATATGTCATACCACTTTTAAATATATTCCTGATTAAACCATTATAATTATGATTTGTCGAATGTATATAAAACTACTCACATGGCGATCAAATAATTCCATGAGAAACCATGATTGCCTGGCAAAAGGGTCTAGGATAATGATTAAGCAAAATGAACCATTTTTTATCTTTTGAATTCTTCCGTATGGTTTTTGGTTTTTTGTTTTCTTCCCTTCACATGATTTTACTCTTGTTACTTCTGTAGGTGTAAGCTGTGAAACTGTTTTTGTTACCATATTGCAAATTTTGCGTTTAATAATGTGAACGGGTGAGGGTTGCGCAGTTCGATACTGCCCACGAGTTTATAAAAATCGGCGCTCAACTCCCCTTCCGTCCGTGATGCCAACTCTTCACCTGTATCCATTTATAGATCAATTAAATAAAAGTACGGTATTCATGTGAAATGTGTAGGCAAAGGCAAAAAAAATGTTTGTGGAAGACCAGAAAACTATAAGCAATATAATTATGAAAGATCGGTCAAATCAAGAAACATTATCTTGGAATATTCGCGGTTTAAAATATTATTTATGTAACAATTATTTTTACAATTGTTAAATAAATGTGATGTTGTTTTTTTTTTATATGAAACGTTGTTGTCAGAATCTGATTATTTGTTTTATGATATCTTTTGTTGAAAACAAAATAAAAATTTTAAAATTTGGACAAAAATGGATCGTTATTCATTTGATTTTGAAAATTTTTTTATTTTAATGCTTTATTTTAATAGAAGGAGAAATAGAGGACCAGTTTTGTTTATTAAAAACTTTAAAGTTTTAAATTTTAAATTAAAGGAGCCTGAAAATATATGTTATGGGGAAAAAAAGGAATTCAATTACAAACATTTTTAACAGATGAAGCTTTGATTTAAATGCATTGTAACAAAAATTTCAAAGTTTTAACCCAGATTATTTTTATCAACTCTCAAAAACCTGTGCTATCACGGGTAGGATAATCGCAAATTGTCGTCGGCTTTCGGATTAAGAAAACCTTGGAACGACTGACTCTTTTGCAAGCATTTTCATACCCACCCTCTACCCCAACCTCAAAGTGTACTCTGTCATTCCAATTGGACACTAAATAACGGTATTTCAACCTTAAACCTTATGAAAACGTGATTTAGTGGTGTGTGTGTGATATAAATGCGCGCGTCATAGCACGTAGTTAATTGAACAGCGAGAACGCCACTTTCTTAAAGGAAACATTTGGTTTCCGCTCAATAACTTTAGTTTGATTTGGCCTATTGACACCAAACTTGGTGTGTAGGTAGCTTATATCAAGATGAAGCTTGGGATTGCTATCCAGATGTCTGTGATTATGGTTAATGTATTTTGTTTTCATGTTTTAACTTGAGTTTGCTTTGACCTTTTGACAACAAGCTTGCTGCGTGGCAGCTTTGGATTGCCACTTAGATATCATGGTCACTGTTACTAAAAATAGAAATTCAGTTTCCGCTCAATAACTTGAATTTGCTTTGGCCTATTGACACCAAACTTGGTGTATGGATAGCTTTTATCAAGAATCAGCTTGGGATTGCTACCCAGGTGTCTGTAATTAAGATCAAGGTCACTGTTACTAAAAATAGAAATTCAGTTTCCGCTCAATAACTTGAGTTTGCTTTGACCTTTTGACACAAAACTTGGTGTATGGATAGCTTATATCAAGAGGCAGCTTTGGATTGCTACCCAGGTGTCTGTGATCAAGGTCAAGGTCACTGTTACCAAAAGAGAAATTCAGTTTCCACTCAATAACTTAAGTTTGCTCTGGCCTATTGTTGCCTTATTTGGTGTGTAGGTAGCTAATATCAAGTGGCAGCGTTGAATTGCTACCGAGGTGTCTGTGATCAAGGTCAAGGTCACTGTTACTAAAAATAGAAATTCAGTTTAAGCTCAATAAGTTGAGTTGCTTTGACCTATTGACAAAAAACTTGGTGTATGAATAGCTTATATCAAGAGGCAGCGTGGGGTTTCTACCTAGGCGTCTGTCATCAAGGTGAAGGTCACTGTTACTAAAAACGAAATTCAGTTTTCACTCAATAACTTGAGTTTGCTTTGGCCTATTGACACCAAACTTGGTGTATGGGTTGGTTATATCAAGAGGCAGCTTGGGATTGCTACCCAGGTGTCAGTGGTCAAGGTCACTGAAACTAAAAATAGAAATTCAGTTTCTGCTCAATAACTTGAGTTAGCTTTGGCCTATTTACACCAAACTTGATGATTGGGTAGCTTATATCAAGAGGCAGCTTTGGATTGCTACCTATCTGTCTGTGATTATGGTTAATGTATTAACTTGAGTTTTCTTTATCCTTTTGACAACAAACTTGCTGCATGGCAGCTTTGAATTACCACTTAGATATCTGGGAGCAATGTCAAGGTCATTTGCTTACAACAGAATTTTCAGCTTCTACTCAATACCTTCAGTGCACTTTGACCTATTGATTGCTGTCACATCAAAACTTGGTCGTTGAAAACCTGGTTTTTGTGATTTTAAAAAAATGAAAGATCAATTCTTTAGCAAAAACGTAAAATGTAAGTCTCAAATTAGTGATAATTAGTGTTTTTTTTATATTAATCGTCAACGACGTAACGCAATTTACCTTTACATTCCGACCTAGACGAATTTCCTTGTCAATTTCTTTACAGTCAACGTTGAACAAAACTTTATTGTTTCATCACAAAATGTACGCACAGACACTGGGCGTTATGATGATACACACAGACAAAATAGACTATGTTTTTTTTGCAACACGAATCAAACCGTTTCCTGCTAGTCTGCCACTTTTATAGAGATATAAGATCAATGTTTTTGACTTAAACCTTTGGCCGACAATCTGAAAGTAAAATGTGTCCAGCGTTTATAAACATTATCTATTGCGCATTTAGATAACGAGGTATCTAATATGCTTATAAAATCGTGTAACTATTTATCTCTCTCTTTGATATCTCATTTTTTTAATTATACGAGTATTTTAACAAACACCCTACTGTTTACACAAAAGTGATATCTGTTTTTCTTTGCATTGGTTCTATTGACTATGTTTCCTGTCAATTTATGATACTAGAAAAAAATGTGTAGTGTTAAAAGCGAATTTTACGTTTACTCTGCTATGCCATAAGGCTTGTAAACTTTTGTACAGTCGGCCGATGACAAGAAGTATACTATTCTGTTAAATTGTGTTTTAAACTTCTGATTTTTGGGCATAATGATAGAAAATGATATCAATTTTCTAAAATTTTCATATTGCAAGTTTTGCATGATCTGTTTATTCTATCTAATTTTTATATCTACCCATTTTTACATTGAGACTATGTAAGGACATTCTAAAACGTTTTAATGCAAATCGAACTCGTTTGTCAAATACAAAATACAGTATGTTGCAATTGTGAATATCAGATGTATATGTGATACAAGTATTATAACATAACAAAATCTTTTTAGGCCTAAAATAGCAGAAGCAATATACACTTATTTAATACATATGAAAACAGATAAACGTGTAATAAAAGACTGTACATTGTTTACAATTTACAGAAGAGTGGTAAAATACATTTCAATTCATTAACCTCATAAGTAACATAGTTTAAGTTCATTGGATTTTAAGTAATTTGTAGCTCTCTTTTTTGAAAATGCAAAATATATATATTTGATAAGTTATTTAGCTTTTCTGTTTGTCATCAGAAATTCGCAGGTCACCTACAGAATATGGGTTAAGATATTGTTTCCTTAGTTTATAATAATTTGGACATATAAGGTGGGGATGAAACTAATTTTCTATTACATTGGTGGATTTTTTATGGCATTTTCGTTCTTCCTTATGCGTTTCTTGATGTTTATATATATCAATGGCGATTTGTTTTTGACAACCTGTAAAGTTCTCAATAGTAACAAGGGCTTACGTTATAATATTTTCGAAAAAAATTAATCTCTGACTTGCAGAAACAACATTTAATATTTAATATTGATTTTCGCTGTTTTAATTTTTTATAGAAGGTACCATAATGATTGTAAACAGGATTGCAGTACTTTTGAAGATTTCACATTCATTTCTATCGTATAATGTGTATGTTTATATTGCAGATATGCCACAAGACGGACACCGTGATTTGATAAATTTTAATCATCAGCAAAGGGAAACTTTACTAGAGGAAGTTGAGCCTAAGATAATTTTAGAAGAGCTCATTGCAAACAGTTGTATCTCTTCTAAAGAAAAAAGAGAAATAGCTACCACGCCAAAAAGGCGGGAAAGAGTAAAATTACTGTTAAAAAAAATTGAATCATCTACAGACATTGTGGCAGATCAAATTGTTAGGTGCATTACAAATGCTTGCCCAAACCTCACAGGACTGTTTCACCCATGTAAGTGAATTTTATTCGTTTATAATATCGAACCATTTTGAAATAATTATCAACGATGCATCTGTTTGTTTTTTTGTTTTTGCTTTTTTTTTGTCTGTTTTTTTTGTCTGGTTTTATTTTGTTATTTTTGTTGTTGTTTTTCCTGTGGAGAAGGGGGTGTTTTTTTTCATTGTTTGTTTTTCATATTGTTGTTGTTTAAAAAGAATGTAAATTAAAAAAGTATTGTTTGCATTTAATATTTTGGACTTAAAGTCCACCTCTGAGACTAATATAAAATCGGAAAAAAAAATATAGTTATAAACATATCTTAAAAGTTTATTTGTCTGAAGTAATTACAGGACTCTTTAAGTCCTTAGATGTTCCATGACATTTACGTGACATTTATGTTTGGAAAAGTTCAAATGAATTACATTTCATTTTTGGTTGGACGATTTGTTTGATAGTTATGCTACTTTACTGTTTATCACTTCAGGTAGTAGTAATACAGGGCAGCAGAACCATTTAACAAATGAAAAGGGTAAATACAACAGATACATCTATAAAATTGTAATGCGAATATTTAACTTGCATTCTTATCAAAAATGGTTTAATATCAAAAGAGTAAAACCCATTCCTGTTTTAATATTGTTTACTAAATACCTTGAATGTTTGTCTAAACGATAGATATTAAATCAGAAAATGGTCTGAATATCAATACATTTGCAGAATATTTTTTAATTTACAGGTTCTCGTTTAAACATTAAAATATCCATAGAGACAAAGGCAGTACAGGACCCGAATGAGCATGATGATCCGGTAAAAACCTTACAAATGAGAAAAAGTGTAGCTGAAGAAATAGAGAGAAAAATTGTTCACAATTTGGAAGAAAATCCAAATCGGTTAGAGGATATGTTCGAAAATTGCTTGATAGGCATTGACAAAATTAAATTTGCGTGTGTAAAAATATATCTAAGGGCATTGTCGTCAAAATCCCTAAGCAAATTAGTGGCATATGCCAACACTGGAGCTTTCAAAAAGCAGATAGCGTCGTTGATTGACCAAAGTGGACATGAATTAGAGAGAGACTCAGAAATATGCATAGAAATATCAGAAGGATGGTCAAAATCGGAACAAAATGAAACGGGTATGTGATAATTCAATCTTCATTGATATTAAAGATAATTTAATTACCAATCTGCTTCATGGTAAAAGGATAAACTAAAGTTTAAATATGAAATATAGACAATTCCTATCTAATTGTTCAGAATCAGTCAAGGGACAAAAATATATATCTCGGAATAAAATAATTCTACATGATATTACAGAGAAATTTTTTTATTATTCAGAAAAATTATGATTTTTCATTTCCATCTCCCGAGCAGAAGGCTTTACGACTCCTGGAATTGCTACTTATTTCTGATTCTAATTAAAACAATTCCAACATTAAATGAAACAAACGTCTTCTATGAATCATAGTTTGTATTTTTTAAATATCATATAGTAATTCTTATTTTATTTAACACTGTCGCCATCAAAGTTTAGTGGCATTCTGTTCTATTTCAAACCACAAGGTATTTCATATAAAAATAATTAAAAAAACTCATTTTCTATCGACTTATTTAAAGTTTACAATTTTGAGTGTATTGTTGAAGAATAATGCATGTTTTGAAGTCAAATGTTGGGAATATAGTCACGAAGGCCAACAGGCCTGAGTTATTACTTACAAAGCAATTTGCAATACTGCTTTTATTAAGTCCTTGGTCCGTCCATAACTGATGTTACATAAATAAAACGTTGTATGGTATAAATGTGATGACAAGTACTTGGTAACATAGCTAGAAACAAGAACTGTATTATGAACTTTTAGAAAAGACAACATCTAACGAGTATGCTAGTAATTATTTGACGCATTTATAGCGACTCAACTGAAGTTTGTCAAAAAGACTGGAAAAATGTTTATCGAAATTTGTGTAACTTTAAAGGTTGATGTAGGTTTGGTCATGGGCCAATTACCATTGTACAAAAAAAAAACAGAATAATCGCTCAGTACGTTTTTCTAGAATAATATATCTAAGTTTTGAAAATGACCTATATAAAGATGAAAAGCGTTTAGATTATTTTAATTCACGAGCGGCTTAGAAGCGCACAAACAACAATTTTCAATTCAATTTGTAGTATAATTCTGAATTTAACCGTTTAAGCACCCCAGGTTGTCTATGTAAAAATTTCGTTTTTACCTTTTTTAGCTTTTAGATCTCAGCGGAGTTCCTTCGGTGTTTTTATTTTTAGCATATTTCAGTTGACTATTGTCTGAATTCAACTTTTAAATTAGGAAATGTTCAAGTCGGAGTTTAGCTGTTTCAAAGAACACTGAAATATTAACTTTGCCTGCAGCCACTTTAGACGTTTATTTAAATGTTTAAATACGTACCTGATTAGTGTGTCTCTTTAGTTTTAGAGTGTCTTTGCAACTTAGATAGAAGAGCAATAAGGAAGAACTTCAAACTACTTAGTGACAAAATGAAATGTTCCAAAATAATCAATCGCATTTTGGAAAGTCATCTAATTACAAAGATGGATAAAGCATTTTTGATGAAGATAAAAACTTACGATTTGAAAGCTATGAAGAAACAGCTAATGCACTATTTACTGAAAGAAGAATTACCAAAGATAATGTTCTGTATTTTGGAAGACGAAATTATAAGAACAAATGGGTCGTCAATTATTCGGACCATACTTACAGGTATATATATATTTTACACAAATATTCAAATAAAAATTTATGTAAATAATGATATTGTTTTTTTTAAATATTTCAAGTTTGTTTTATACCAAATATTTATAATAACTTTTATATTAATAGTCAGAAGACCAGTAACTTTAATATTGAAATTTACCTACTATATTTCAGAGCATTATTGTTTATTTCCTAAATAAAATATTTCATCAAGAAAATACCTTTACCTTACAACAAGGATTAATACTGAAGCGATGTTAATGAATACCACTGAGCAATGCGATGAGGGTATTATGTTTCACTAGACGTATCCAAAAAAGCAATTTAGATATCTAGTTTTTAAGTCAACATATAAGCGTTTTTGGAATGTAATGAGATCAATTGTTTTGTTGGTGGGTTTTGTTTTTGTCTTTTAACTGCTTATCAAGTTCATTGATAGATGCAAATATTGTCTGTTTTACACGTTAAGTGTTAAACATGACTGATATCTGAAATATTTCTGTTTGTAATTTCGATGTTAAGTCACACTAACATTGAAATCGCCATACGGTGGCTTGAAGTGATTAGGTACCGCGCGTCTAAAATCGGCCGATGTAATGTTTTTAACATCAAATGTGTTTTTATATAAGTGACTCATGCCCAAATGATTCCACCAGAAAATGCATGAAACATTTGAAATTCAGAAGGTTGGTACTCCTGGTTGATATTATAAATACCAAGGGTTTAAACGTTGATATGAGAACAATTATCCATTTGGTTTGGCAATTTGTTTCAATCTTAAATCTCGGAGGACGTACACATATGTATTTCAAATTTTACTGATAAAGTTTCTGTTTATTTAAGGCAATGACAAGCTCCTAAAAAACCAATGTAAACCAACTAACTTATTTGTATTTATCTTCACTATTGTTTCCCATAATTTTACCTGTTTACAAAATGGGTTTTTTTTTCAAGGGGAAAAAGAAAAAAAGCTTTTAAAAGTGTTCAAAACTTTTTTAATTTACAGGGAAAATAAAAGAACATTCAATGAAATTAAGAAAGGGGGAAACGTCAATTTTTCTAAAAAAGGTTTCCCCTTTTTGGAAGAACTAGAACCCCCAATGGTTTTTTCCGTTTAAAAAGAGGAGATAATGCTTCCCCGAACGTTTTGGGGCTAAAATGAAAAAACATGTCCGACAAATAAAGGGGAAAATTTTGTAGGCTTCTTTTGAGAGACATTTTGATTTTTTGGTTTTTTTGGTTTTAAAAAGATCCCAATTCCCCTTTTTGATCTTGCAAATAAAAAAAGAAGCTCAAAGGACAAAAACGACTGTGAAGATAAAGGTCTGTCATGTATTTAGATTTTTTTTATATATTTTACTGACATCAATCATACTGATCATATATTTTGACAGATTACGTTTCGCATGGAGTGAATTGATATGAAATTTCAGTTATATTAATATTTATTAAATATAAATAAGAACTATTTCTTCTTCAATATTCATATATCTAACTTTGATTCGCTTCAAATTCCATTACCTCCTCATATTTCATTTTGATTAGTTCGATGACAGTTGAGCAATGCAGTATTTAATGTAATGTACTTGCATATTTTAACATAAAATCTTTATAGAAATTATGTTCTGAAACATAATTTTATAGGAATTGATAAGGAATTATACATACCAAGCAATGTATAATAATAATCCTTTTAAAACAAGTGTAACTTCAGTATTTGCTTCTGTTCTATTTACAGACCTTAAAAGAATGAAGTCTGCGTTGCAGTTCTACTTGGATGAAATAGTAGAAGAAATTGATCCACTGATTCTTAAAAGTTGGCTTGGAGCTAAATCATGGGATGAATTAAAGATCAATAAGCTAAGTAAAATTGTTGGAAGGAGGGAAAGGGCTGAGAAATTTTGTATGTCCTTAAAAGAAACAGGGTCTGATATAGTTCAAGATGTTTTACACGCAATGAAATTTTGTGGATACGAGGATATAGCTGGTGATATCATAAATATTGCCAGAGAAGGTAAATTACACATACAATGTCTTCTTCTGTACATAGATTAAAATATTCTATACAGTTACCATAAATAATTATGCAAAACGATGAAATTTACTTAAAACAGATGTAAAATGTTTAACAATGTAACATCCACCAGAAAACAAAAAGCAATCACAAACAGTAGTTTAGATTACTTTTCATCAATTATACCATGTCTTGTTAATTTTTTTGTATCACTTTTTATTTGACTTATAATTTTCAGGTCCCCTTTCCAATCTATATAGGTGCCCAAATGTTACGAATCTGACACAAAACAATGAACGTTGCGTCTATAATGAGACATACAAATTTAAAGAATATTTGGATGAAGGCAAGATATGTGAAACATTTTTTTCTTTGTTGTTGTTTTCCGCTGATTTTCTAGCAATTGATCTACCTATCTGGCTTTCTCAGATATTTTCTCGTTGTTACCAATTTTTCTATAAATGTGCGACAATTTATCCGACATGATTTCTAAGACAAATTATAATTAGACTCAATATCCAAATTGAATGTCAAGGAGAACTTTTGCCTCGCCCGAGAATCGAACCAGTATCACTGATGTTTCCTATTGTGCTAAGTGGGTGGTCCATGTAAAGTCTTAATCCCGATGTATGTTTCAAACTAGTGTCGTACATTTGAAAATTTGAGTATTTTATAGAAATCAGGGTGTATGTGCAACATTTACACAATAATGAAATAAAATTTACATGAATAGGAACTCGGACATGTATGAGATAAAATCATGAGCGGGATATAATACACAGAAAAATCTTACGGAAATCCCCATGCCAAAGCCGGGAGTTGAACCATGGGTCTCTAGATTGCCGGTCCATTATGAGTATGCTTACCGTAACACCACACCTTCTATATTAAGTTATTTTGCAATTTATTGTAACTTAGATATATAAGATCAATAAGCACCAGATAAAAGCAACGACCTCTGTGGTGTAGTGGTAAGCATACTGGACTGTATTCGAGAGACCCTAGGTTCTAGTGGGATTTTCTATGTATAATTTCCCGCCCAGGGGTGTTGGGGTAGGTTCGAGGATATCAATCAACCAATCAGTGGGAATATTTTTGTGGGGTTAAAAGTTCGTTTTGGCCCGTACAAATTTGGTAACGAGTTTTTAAAAAAAGCTCGAGTAAAAAGGGGCCTTTTTGCAGATTGTATTTTCGTAAAAAAAAAAAAAGCTCAATTTACACTTGTTTACTGGGTTTAAAATTTTAAAACTCCGATTTGGAAATTTTTTCCCAAAAACCCCTGAATCGTTTATAAAGGTTTTATAGAGTTTAAATTTTAAAAATTCTTTAAAATTTTAAATCTCCAAAAAAACTATGGTAATTTAAAGAACTATGTTATTTACATTTTGCATTGATTCAATGTACAAATAGAGAGCCCTTGGCGTAACCACACTGTTTATAATATATTCATTTTTAGTTTTTCTTATAACATTCTTCAAAATAGTTTTGATTTGACTTATTTATTAGAATGATGTTGTTGATGAAATGTTAAAGGAAATATTTATTTGCACAGAAGAAGCTCCTAATCTTGAAATAGACGTTGAAAAAAGTATGATCACTTCAATGATTCCAAGAGACAAAAGGTATGATCAAAAGTTTTTAAACAGAGATTTGTATCTATTTAGATCTTTTGGTTGCAACAAAAATATATCAAAATTTCCAAAATATATGTGTACAATGTTACCTTAAATATCATTCTCGGAGAGTATTTAACTCAACCTAATTTTGTTTGAAACAAATACAATATAGAACTGATGTGATTCGCCATATACTCATGATTCAATAATGTTAGGTTAAAGGATATGTTATCAATTAATGATTCAGGTTAGGACCCATTCAGAGTCTTAAAGGCGTTACTGAAAGTGTCCTTTTATCCGGATCTGGACTGATCAAAAGTACGAAGGATTTTTTGGGGTCATTACTGAAAACAGGTATACCGTTTCAATCAGTTTATTTGAAATCAAAATGCATTTCGAAGAAGAAAATGATAAAAATGATTTTAAAAAATTAAATGTTTGCTGCGCCTTATTTTGTATGTGTATTCAATATTACTTTAATGAATCATAGTGCTTTTCTTAGACATTTGGCAAGATGCAAAAATACCCTGACATTCCCTTTTAAATAGTGGCTTGTTTTATGTTCGAGCCTCACTATAATTACACATGTATTTTGAAAGTTGAGTTTACGAAAAACTTTATTAGCAGTCTATCAAAATGCACTATCAGATCGATTTTCTTATTTTCAGAGTCAGATAAATGTTCATCATCAAGTACCGAAGAAACAACATCGAATGAAGCAAAAGGAGCTGAAGGAGAAAATAAGTTTGTGTCATGGACGAAGGAGTTCTCATGGCCCTTACCAACAATCCAATTAAAGAAAAGTAACATTAAAGAACAGACATTGAAAACAGTTGATAAATAGTAAATCTCAAAATTGCTTTTCCAATTAAACTTTTTATGTAAATTATGTAAATTTATGTAACACGGTCCGGGAGAATTGTAAAGCCTAGTACTTGTTATCCTAATGATACTTATCAGAAATAAACTGACTAATGATTAAATATCTGATAAACGATAATTGTGTAAATAATTCGTAATGATTGCGTTCGATTATACTTATATATGAACTAGCTAAAATAATTTCTAAAACAGATTCAATAATATTATCAATGTTTAACTTTAAAAACGTATTATTAATGCTTAATGTTTTGTTTTTTTTAAGAAATACAATCAATTTCTTTAAGTAAAAGAAGGGAGATGTAATATGAGACTGTTTATATAAATGTATGTTTGCGCATGCTGAGAAAGAAGTACAGCAGTTCTTTTTTAGAGTTTATCTCTAGTACTAAACTTGTAGTCATAGAACACATTTGTGTCTCATAAGTTATACGTTGTCTACTTGTGATATTCTCACATACAAAACCACATAATATTACAGCTAGGATCTGCCAATTGTATATGAATGACACCATGATATTTCAGTGGCTTTGAAAGTGGTCACTTTCTCCGCTTACGAATCAAACACGGAGTTTTCCACTGAAAGCGTAAATACATAATATAATAATAATTGAATAATTGTATATGTTAAGTATCTATAATTTTATGAGAGACTTTAATCAATACTATTTGTATACAAGATAGGATATTGTTATTCCTGACAACTTATAACACCTAGACTATGTCAAAATGCATTTACGTTTTCTTTATTGAATCGTTGGAAATTTGCTAAAAAAATGTTTTGCTTTGTATTTCTTTACTGATATGTATATCCTGTTGTTTATTTCAAAATTATTTGTAATTATTGATTATTTTCTGTCGAAAATATTATACTGCTTATGTTTTAATATTTTATATAGATACTTCCAGGATACGTGCTTTGTTGTTGTTATTTGTATAACATGTTTAAGTATATTTTAATTCCCAAAATCGTTGAGTTTCAACTGGATTGTATGGCTAGGATCTGCCGATTGTATATGAATGACGCCACTTTGAAAGCCGTCACTTTATCCGCATACGAATCAAACACGGAGTGCATTATTCAATCATTTACCTGTATTCTAAAAAAATATATATATATAAATAATATTGAGCGATTTATCTTTAAATGTCAGATCCAATTGGATATAATCAAATGCGAAAACTTATAAACACGTATTCTTTACTTTAAAATGCATCTTATTTTAATTATCATATCTTATTATGTAAAAATAATCTAGTTGCTAAGGTAGCATATGTTCAGCGTGATATAAGATAGGTAATTTTAACATTGTCTCTTGAATTCCGGTTTTCAACATACGGAATTTACGAAGTGACGATTTCAGCTTCATGAATTTTAACATTTCCTTTACAGTTCATTTTAAGGTTTTTTATATATTGTTTATTTTTTAAACTATTACTTAAATGCAGGATATAGGCAATCTGTTTAAACAATAAATTTAAAATAGCTATCATAATAAAGTATTCAGTAAAATGTTTGATCCTATACATGGCCTTGGCTTTTAGTGGTGCGTCAAAGATATGATGTGGACTGTATAAAGCTATATCTAATGGAATATTTTTATGAAATTTATAAACAGCAATTTTACGGTCGAGTCTCGACACAGTTATAACATATTAAATCTCTGTAATTAAACATACATGACTTCTTTTCGTAAACTGAATAAGGGTTTTCCGCAGCAAAATTTTAAAGCACTTTTTCTTAAAAAGGTGGGAAAATTAAATTTCTTTCCGCCCTTTAGTATTTATTTAATCATATATCTTTCATACGGTATTTTTTCAAAATAGGGGGTTTTTGCGGGCTGTTTGGAAAGCATTACCCCACTTTAAAGGGAAAATACAAAAATTGGGAAGTATTAAAAAGACTTTTATGAAAGACAAAGGGCAGTCAATTTTGGGTGTTAGATTTGTTTTTTGTTCCTTTTGGTTTATGAATTTGATTTTAATGACAGGGTTCCCATTTTTTTTGTTTTAATGAACATTTAGCTAAAAATTTGCAAATATTTTTTTATGTGTGTTTTTTAAATTGGTCGGTTTGTTTTAAAGTCAAAGTGTAAGGGGCCTAAAAGCTTTTGAGTTATGCAGTATGTACCTTCATAAATGAATTCATTCTAATTTTAATGTATCTTTACTAAATTGAACTTTTTTATGCTGTAAGTATGTTATATCATTATAAAACTGAATATATTTAACTCATATCAAATGCATGTAGAGACACTTAAAACAATTCATAAATAAACTCTATAATGTATGTTGCGATCTTGTGTTATATTTGTTATTATTGAAAGAAATATATTTGTTATAACATTTGATATTGTTTCGCTTTGTCCTTTTGATCATTACTAGAAGAATTAAATAGTTTCGGTTTTCAAACATTTCAAAATGAACCAGATCAAAATAATTATACATTGTGTATTTCTTAAAAACATTTTAATAAATCTTATATGCATTAGATTCATTAGGTAAATAACCTAGCTTGTTGGTTACGTTCTTATTTGAAAGATCAAATTGCTGAGTCGTTACTCTCTTTTTCTCCTTTCAGATAATAGAATTTTTCCTTTTTGTATCTTCCTTTGCAAAAAGTATTTATTATGATTGAGACATAAAACAAACACTGAAACATGAATGTTAAAGTCTTAGTTTTAAAACTGTTTCGAAAAATTATAATCCTCATTGATTTCTAAGTTCATTTGCCGCAATAATCTCCGTAGATTGAATTGAATCGAAATTAGGAACAGCTGTATGGTTATTTGACATAATGTTACTGATGCCATAAGAAAAGGATTTTTGAAAACAATTGAAACTCCGGATTTCTTTAATGTCAAATGAAATTCTTTACACATTCAATAATTACTAATCCATCTTAAAAGAACCACGTTGAAGTACTTATCATTTGGCAGTTGGTGTTTTCACCTATGGTGAAGGTCGGTTACTTCAAACTACTTGCGGACGTCATGATATACCTCTTGCATTTTTGTAGCCTGCGTTTCAGTATACCCCTGGTACCAAAGTTCATGGGAGCTGAATTTTGCCTTTTGGCGTCTATTCTGCAGGTGTTATGTAATTCACTTTTGGTTTGTTGAGAAAGTTTATAGTTTTAGAGGTATGACAAGAGGCCGAGTCTTGATGGAACACCATATCATTCTCTCTTCCAGGAAAACGTCGCGAAACGTCTTAGTGAGAAATGGTTTTAGTACGTTGGGTATGTAATATTTTGCATTGATTTTTACCCCTTTAATGATAAAATATATAGATGTCTTGCCGTAGTGACTAACCTCGGACCAAACCATATATCCAGGTGCAAAATTTTTAATGCATCTCGTTTCACAAACTTCAATTTGTTCAGGTCTGCTTCATTAGTTCGACCGTAACTACCGCCATATAAAATATAGTATCATCTGTGGTGACAATGTTTATTTCATTTTCCAGTTAAGAAGGAGATAAAGACGCAATGATCGAGCACATACATTTATCGTTTTCATGAACTTTTGTTAGCTATAAGATTTTATAACGTGCTTTGATTGTGTTCCATAATTTATTGAGCACCCCTTATACTAAGGTACCTAATCGTGCATGATATATGCACGGAATGACACCTGAGGTCTTCCTTCACCAGTAAAGCTGGAAAGTCGCCAATTGATCTATTCTATGTAACGCAACAAAAAAAAAAACAAAAAACGCTGAGACAAGTCTCAGCGTGGATGAATTATACCTTGGTGTTCTGAGTTTTTCACAAACATAACACCTGTAAAGGCACTATTGAAGTCCGAAGTCCGCTGCTGGAAACCCTAACTGTCTGACAGACTCGCTTTTAATATACTTTATTCAGTTATTTTCGATATCATTATCAAAGGTCGTATCTTTATGTTTCGGTCAAAAATTGCGTGTAAGAGTTTTGAGTCCTGAATGACATACTTTCGTATTCGTATTCTGTAATCTCTAACAAACCCAATGCTAACAGGCTTAGCTATGTGCAATTCCGCTGACGGACACGTCTCTTCGAAGCGAATGAATGCATTTCAAACAGTGTATCATTCAAATTTCGCTAAAATGTCTTAAAATCGCTTCAGTTTTCCAGAAGAAGCATTTCGAACGTATTGAACTGCGTTCGTTTTAGTATGGAAACAGTTTCCACGTGATCTAATGTGAATTAAATAGAAAGTGCAACGGCAGATATGCCAGATTAGGAGCGTAGCGCCCGAGCATTTCAGATTCAGTTAGAAGAGTTTTAAGAATCGCTCAAGACGCTATTAAAGAAATAAACTGAGATGAATTTGCGAGACAATCAGCAGAACAAATAACTGAAAACACACAAAGTTGTTCACATATAAAACAAACGTGTTTATTTATATGAATAATTCTAAATTAAAGTTGAAGCTTCATTATTGATGTGCTATATTGTATTACACGGGTATTGCTCATCATTGTATTCAAATTTCTTAGTTAATTGGTGCAGATGTAGTATGATTGCATTGTGTCCAAAGCAGTTGTTGGCACGAGTCTCAGTCTGATTTTGGTTTTTTAGTATTTTATTTCTTTTGCAGCAACAATATTAAATAGGAGGTTATGAAATATGTAAATTGGTAGCTTCTTATTTTGCATACCTTTCGGTGAAACAGTTTAATAGTATTTCAAATATAAGCGGTGGGCTGTAACTGTCTGCTTGTTATTACGAATCGGATATATAGCACGAATTATGCAAAACGTAATGCTGATTTTCAAAGCGTAATGAGAAATGTATGCCTCACCCAAGACTCAAGATAAAGATCTCGTTAACTATTGACCTTAACTCTTTTGGCGCCATTCCAATGGTACGTGATCCATTTTATTATCTTATTATCTTCTTATGTGTTGAATGTTAAAAAAGACATGGAAAGCAAGATCATCAAGAAAGGGCGGCGTTCAATGAACGCAACCCCCACACGACCCAGCCACACAGGACACCAGCAGGACATCTAACAAAAGTAGGACAGTGTACAAGGCAAAGCACGGACGAGGTAAAGTCAAAATATGTATACAGTTAATACAATATCACCGAAGTTTAGGTTACATATAACATTTATCAATTGTAAATAAAATAAAACATTAACACATTAACTCCGCTAGCATGTCCAGCGCGCAGACGTATGAACTGATTCGGTTGTAATTCGGTTTCTCCAATTTAATTTTAAGTGGTTTACATATGGAGATTTACAGTACCTTGTCACCGGCCAATATGCAAATAAGTGAAAAAGCAAAATAATATTGATTGAAAAAGCAATTTACTTGTTATGTGGTACAATTAGGATGGCCTGAGATTTGCCCTTTAAGGCAATTGTATTTAACCTGATGATGTCTTAGTGAAGTTGAAATAAATCAGAAAAAGTAAGTTGGTAAGATTGTAGGATATAAGAAAACATTTTTATAATAGTTGGGTCGGTTTATTGCGGACATTTTGGACAATAGGACACTAATCTATAGAACGTTGAATACAGCTTGAAAGCTTGACTCATTTATTTTGTAGTGTTGAACGGCAAAGATAAGAACAGCAACTCTCTGTAGGTTTTTCTTTTTCATGCATTTTATTCTGGGACAAATATGTTTTAAAATATTCTTTTAGCTTCAATAATTTTAAGAATTTATTGATTTGATCTCATGTTTAAGATGGATGATTTGGAAGAATGCTATGTATTAAGATAGACATGTACATATATGCACACAAATGATCACAATTTGGAGTAAAGTGTCATTTTAAAACTTTATCACCTTAGTCAGCAGAAAATTGCCTTTCTTCTTTTGCTGAAACATAATCTTAAATTTGGCTTTAATCATTGGTTGAAAGGTCAATCATATTATCTCAGTAAAAATCTTATGTAATGAATGTCCCCATTTTTATATGGCTGAAAAAAACATGGCGGTATTTTGGATTAATACTAGTATCTACCATAGACCGGAAGGACCGTTTAAACTTCTTGAATTCTCGATTTCATCCTCATGAATTCATTATTTTAACTTCTTGAATTCCCGTTTTCAACATATGGAATTCACGAATTGACGATTTCAGCTTCATGAATTCACTATTTCAGCTTCACGAATTCACGCTTTCAACTTCATGAATTCACGCTTTCAACTTCGTGAATTCACGACTTCAACTTCACGAATTCACAATTTCAACTTCATGAATTGACGATTTCAACTTCATGAGTTCATGAATTCAACTTCGTAAATTCACGATTTCAACTTCACGAATTCACGATTTAAACTTCACGAATTCACGATACCAACTTCATGATGTTAAAATAAGTGTATAAATATTTACCTTTCTATATTAAATACTTCATTATTTCCCGCCTCAAATACACGGAAATCATGAAGTGCAAATACACGGGTAGAAAAATCCGCATTATGTTAGTAACCATAGTCTTGAAGTGCAGGACTATTTTTTCGTTGGTTCCCATCTTGCGTATGCAAAACGAGGTATTAGGAAACAAGAACCGATACTACTAAGTACTGAAGTAATTCTCAGTACGATAGACCGGTAGGGACTTTTCGACTTTGAATTTTCGATTTCAACTTCGTGAATTCAAAATTTTAAATTCGTTAATTTACTTTTTCAACATACGGAATCCACAATTTTAACTTCATTAATTCACGATTTCAACTTCACCAATTCACGTTGAAATGTTCCATCCGGTCTATCGTACTGAGAATAACTTCGAAAACACTTTTTTTTTTGCGGTATGAGTTTACCAAACCCTTCGGGTTAAGTCCCCACTACGACCAGCTTGAAATTACACCACTGTTTTAGCATATCCACCGCAATGACAGGCCATTTTGTTCGAGGACGAACGAGAGATGAAAATTGTTTTAATTCACCCGCTCTCCACAAGAAGTGGGAGCCGGGGTTACAACCGAATGATGCATTATCATGTGAACGACTGATAATCTTTTCACTTACAAAAAGCCCCTCTTGTTTTTTATTAATGCTATTTAAACCTCTGTAAATAATTTAACAATCAGGTTATGCTCTACATACATGTATTTGATTGAACTTAGCAATCGATACCCTATTTATATACATTTTCTAAATAGATTTCTGATATCATTTCGAAAATATTTATTTTTATGACTGTTTGTGTATGTCCACCATAGCTACATACAAACAGAAAGCACATGAAACGTGTCTTTAATGAATTTTCAGGATAAGTTTGCATTTTTCTAGGTAAATAATGAAAGTACGGACATTTAATTAGAAGAGGCGAATAAAGAAAGTTTAATTCAACCGGGAATGTAAACAAACCCTTTTCTCGACTTCGGTAAATATTTACGTTATTAAAGAATATGATAAATATGTAAAGCTCTCAATTTTTTAGACACTGTTTAATTATAATAGAACATAAATATTACAATTAAGATCGACTGTTTGATAATTTACTTGAAATTATGTTGAAATGTGTTTTTTGCTTATCCTTATCCATGGAAACACCATTTGTTTGTTTGCTTTTTACCGTAACAGACAAAATTCGTGAAATCGACATTTGTCGTCAAAAGAACAATAAGAATATTTGACAAGGAAATATTTTACTGCTAAGCATGCGTAATAATCGATGATAATTGTCGAAAAAATTAAATTATTGATAGCATTTTCTACTCTGATCCGAGTCAATTTGCTTTTCGTAATACCTTGAAGATGATGTTACATGGCTAAACATGTACTGTAGAATTGGAAAGGTACGAAATATGGTTCTGAATAAAAGTCTCAATATCAATGAAATAGTCGACCTTTCACAAACCTCTGCTGAATTTCTCGTTTGAGATATAAGTTTAACCATTATGATACTTAAATAGTATGGTTTAATAGTTTGTCAGCGATTAAATTATCACTAATATTCGACAACAAAGAAACATTTTAATAACCGTGCTAGCGAACATGATATAACAAGAATACATTGCTTGGTTTAGAATTAAATATGTTCAGTAAATTTCACATCGGTTTAATCACTCATTAAAAAAGCTAAAAAGCTTTTGTCATTAAACATAATCAATTACATCTGGTTTTCATATTTCCAAACATATTTAACTATACGCATATTGTTTGATGTATAGGTTAGCTAATGTAGATGAGATTAAAACTGGGCATAAGAAATATGATTTGTAAATGGCAATTTTCCAAAATATGAAAATCTTAAAATAAACATTATATAAAGTCTATTTAAACTTTACGTTGATTGCTGGTCTTTTATCTAAAGATTTAACATCGAAATATGCCTTCGATAACCCTTTAGCTTATCATCTTTATCAATCATTTTGTTCATTGTTTTGTGCAGTCTACAAAAAGAAAAGAAGAAATCATGCAGAACACTGATTACTTACCAAAGAAGTACGACACTGGACAAAATAGCGGTACGGATATATAAACATTGATCAATAATTTAAGACATACTAAATTACGTTGGCAATGTATGCACTCATTTGATCTACTACGCGCAATAAACATGATGCACAGTAGTCATATATTTTGAGGCATGAAAATTCAAATAAATGAAATTAAAGGCACACAAGCACAGTATTTATTTAAGTTAATACATATATTTTGTACTAAATCAACTAGATAAACTTGATTGGTGTGTCATTTTCTGAAGGATTATAAGTATAAATAAATTTTATTGGACAAAAATACAACACAGTTCATCTTTTTTTTGTAATTAATGTTATAATTCGTAAAATCTTTAATTCGTTTATACCTGTATCATATAAGTATAATGTTATTGTAAAATGTTCTAAATATGCAACAGTAAAGAGTCAATTAATGTTTACGTCGTTACAAGCTTGCTTCTTTTCCAATCTGTTCCTGCAAATAAGCTTACATTAATTTTGAAGATTTTGGCTAATTTACCAGTACTTAAAAGTAAGCCAATATGCTCATAATGGTTCCATAAGACTTAGTATGAATTGGAATGTGGATCAAAATTTTATGTGTATTTATTTTCTTCATCCAATTTATAAGAGAGAACTTATTTTTGTTTGAAGGAGATGACAGTGCATTTTACTCTTTGTGTGCTACACATACGACATCAAATGGTTCAGGTAAGCTAGATAACAATGTTTCTTTTAGATCTTGAGCAGGAAGCAATTTGCTTCATTATATCTACATTCTGTCTTCCCAGAAGAGTATCAGTACTAAATTTCAATATGTTTAACTTTAATACATTAATTACACAAAATATCTTTGGCAAAGGATTAGAAAGTGTGTTTTTTTCCGGAAAAAAAAATAAAATGGCTGCTATTTACTTTAAACATGTTATTGGTATACTTCTCAACTTTTGCTTAGCACCATAAGATAATATTTACATTATCGCAAGTATAAAACAGACTTCTTTCTAATTTTTAAAATTTCTGATTCAGAAATATTTTTAGATAGTCCTCTGAGATGAATTCGTGTTGATTAATCCGGTACAACTCGTCTAGGTATCGTGGAAAGCATACACCCCAATATATTCATGTTTTGATGTGGCGTACAATCAAATGTCTTTTATTATACAGCGACATTACCGGCTTATTGTTATTCAGTGGCTTACATTTCTTACAATTGTCACTTCGATATTGCGGATGTTAACATTAGGCGGAATTTGAGAGAAGCAGAGTTATTGAGGGCTGTAGGGATGGTGCAGCAGGGGGAACGGAGCTCTTCCGCCAGGTTGGTGTGGCGCTTGGTGTATACCCCATCGTCATTAACCAGAGCCGGAGAGATACCGGCTTCATGGTACATCCGGCAGGAGGCATGCTGGAGGTCGGCAAAGGGTCACAGCTCAAGATCGGTTTTTGGTCGTTGAGGCACGTCATGCAAGGTTTTCGATAGCACCTTCCCTTCGAAATGACCTTGCTAATATTGCGGGGTTCGTGTTTCCACGCAGACTGTACGTAGTACTGCATGAAGGGACTTGCGGTCAAGAAGACTTTTCATACGTATCCCCGTGACGCGTTGATATCGCCATGTCTGCTTGGACTGGACCACGGAGCATACACGATTCACCATGCAACACTGGAGACACGTTCTGTTCACTGATGAGTCCAGGTTCTGCCTAGACGTCACAGATAGGCGGGTTAGAGTGTGGTGAAGACGAGTTTCAGGCTGAAAATTTTGCTCAGCATGACCACTATGGAGGTCGGTCAGTTATGGTGCTGGGATGGACGAACCGACCTGGTTGTGATAAATAGATGCATATTGACAGGCCAGCGATTCATAGACGAGATATTAGACAACCAGGTTAGGTTGTATGCAGGCGAAGTCGGCGATCAGTTCATTCTAATGGACGATAATTCTCGCCCCCATAGGGCCAGTGTGGTCCAGAACTACCTAGAGAGGGAGTTTATTGAGCGCATGGACTGACCAACTCGCTCACCTGACTTCAATCCAATAGAACAGTGGAATGAGCTGCATGTTAGAATTTCAGTTCGTAAGCTGCAACCCAGAACCATCCAGGAACATGGAGCCATATTGGTCCAAGACTGGGCAGCCATACCCGTTAGAACGATCAGAAACAGAATAGGGAGTCTGATAAGGTGCTGCCAAGCTGTCATTGATAGTCACGGGTCACACACACTGTATTAAGTCTATAACTGTAAACAAAAAAAACAATTTATTTTACAAATTTGAAAAACACGCGGCATACTCTGAAATCTTTAAGGAGGGGGTCATCCCCTTTTTTAGCACAAAATCAGTGTAAAACTCATTTATAGGGTTTAATTCGTCCTTCAGCTTAATTGATAAAACAGTAAATCAACATTTTAAACCTTTCGCACGACGACAAAAACATATGGTGCATAGCAAAAGTTAAGTAGTATATACATAAAAAAACCATATTTAAGCTTTTTATGTTGTTAAACTTTACGACTGATAAAATATGCAGGTGATGATTGTAACTTTATTAATTGCTAAGTTAACTTTGTATCAAAACCTAATTCATTTCATTATTAAAGAAAGATGTCAAAATTTTAACGGTTGGTGTTAAAAGAAACTATCGAAAGTTGTGTAAAGATAAAAAATAATGAACGGTTAGAATTTGCATTTCCAAGATTTATCATTGTAACCGTCCACTAGAACTAATGCTTACTGTTTAAATATCTATTTGTGAACGTCAGGATATACTGTGCACGTTTTATATACTGTTTGTGGTATCCAAACGAGAAAGAGTCATTAAATTATAAAACGGGACAATTGTCACTGATAACATCCACCTCTAGCATTGTAACGTAAAATAATAATGACCTACGATGAACGTGAAATTTGTTTTGCACCAGCTGAACCAGGACACTACATAATGCCTACAGAAGTACTGAGAGATCAAATTCCATTCTTACACTCGACAGAATAGTATAGTAATATTATAGTATTGATTGCGTGTGAAGCGTGGCATGGCAGTCGCACTTGAAATAACCGCATGCTATTCTATTCTGAAGATTCTCGGTTATCTTACGAACAATCTTTCCTAATAAGTTTTATTATGTAATTCGTCGATACTCCAATTGCATTCTATTCCATTTATGTACTACGACTTATGTTTTAGCTGATGACTATAACAAAGTGCACTTTAAAATTTATTGGTCGTAAAAGTATATGAAATATTAAAGATTCTTCGAGTAAGGTAAAAACAGAAGTTCCTAAATGGTTTTCAAACTAGATGTGAAATGTAGTCTTTGTAAATATAATATGTGTTCAAATTTCAGATGAATCTGATTATTCAACGAATGAGTTAGACAGTGATGACAACGAGACACAGGCAAGACTTGTACATAAATCTCTTATAAATCAAAACTATGAAAATGGTTTGCAAGATTACTTTTAAAAGCTAAGTCATATTTTGTTTTACATTGTTAAATGTTGTGTTTTATAAATATAACTGTTTATAATTGATATGAAACTAAATTGAAGCTGCTGTTCATTTTGCAAATGCATAACCCACATCAAACTATATGTTGATGATAAAGATGGTATTTTTTAAAACATCAAAGACTTTTTGGATAAAAACATAGATGCATATCCGTATAATTCAAATAAAAAGGACACTCATGCGGGCCTTGAAGCATGTTGAATGTCTAATTTATGAACTATTTCAGGAAATCAGTATAGAATCGCTTCAGTTAAATTACACGTATCTCCTAGACCAGATGGAGACTGATGGTGTGCTTGACAAATTACACGAATCAAGGTTATTTGATGATGCGTTTTTTGAAATGTGTAAAGAAACACCAAACAGGAGACGCCGTGTCGATTTGATCATCAAAGAGATTGATAGCATTGCAAAAGCGAAATCAAATAGCGTTTTAGACCATTTTGCCGTAGCTTTGGCTATTGATCAACCTTTCATTCTTGACAAATTAAAAGAAGAATCAAGTAAAGGTAGTCTGAGTATATTATTACGATTTATGTCATTTTAAATATCTTCGAATATAATTTGTTTGTGTATAAATGGTCAACTTAATTGATTGAAAAAAAAAACAAGAACATTATACATTTGTACTTAATTAACTTAAAATGTTTAGATGTTTTAATTGTTTAACTTTCTCTCTTAATCACATCTTTTTATTATATGTTTCAATATATAATAACTATATCATGTTTTAACTAAAGAGATAGCTATGGGATATGCACATAAACACAAAAAATTCATCACGTTGATGCGTAGTCGTATTATTCGAGATGTTGAACCAAGAAAATTCATGCACATGCTCGTAACAAACAAGACTCTGTCGCTGAAAGATCATGAAGATATTATGCGTCTGATGCACAGAAAAGACCAAGTAAAAGAACTTTTGGCCATAGCAAATGAAGGAAATAGTAGGTCGGCAAAAGTAATACATGCGATTATTGAAGCAAGCCCGAAACTTTACAAAGAATACAAGTTGAAAGCGCAGAGAGGATCGTGTCAATGTGAGTAATAGAGAGTTGACATGCTGTAGAGAATAATATGTTAAAGCAATGACTTTTGTCTCCTTATGTCTCTTTTTAACGTAATAGAATTTTATTAGCTGATAGTGAAAGGAATACTATGAAACAAACTGAGATTTTAAATTTCAGTTAAAATTGTCATACTCTGTTGCATGAGTGGCGGCGTGACCAGTTGTTGACACGCCTGTTTACTGGCTGCATTGGTTAAAACCTCATCGGGGGAAATTTGTTGTTTCCGAGAGCAAGAAACTTTACACTCATTGCTTAGTACTGGTTGGTTAAAAAACGAATTCGTGAGTGTTGTATTAAGCTTATAGCTTCCAACACAATCACACTTGAAAATATTAGTATAAACTATCATGTTGTATTTTGGTTGTACAAAATCCAAGAGAGTTTTCGATAATTATTTTGATATATTTACAGCATTAAGCTCATCTGTAGGTGCAGCAATAGAAATAAAAATGAATGTCAGGAGCAAGAATATGTCAGACACAAATCAGCAGTTTACCATGATTGAAAAACAAGTAGTTGACACATACAATAGTGTAGAGCAAGAAAACCATGATGATATGTTGAACGACATGGTAGAAGAATGCAGATGCAAGTTTGAAGGACTGAAAATATCTAGCATCGTGATTCAATTATTAACTTTAGACGATGATTCAAAAGAAAAGATCTTGTCCAAAGTAAGGAATGGCAAGCTGGTTGAGTGGTTTATTTCAATGCTAGACGAAAACAATCTAAATGCTTTGAGGCAATTTGGCAATGTTCAATTGGAAATCATAATTTCAGAGGATATAGGGGGTAACTTTAACAGCCTAATTTCTTTAAAGGGTAAGAAAAATATTCTTTGTAATACAAGCTCTCAATAAGCATTTTGCAAGTGCGTTAACGTAAAAAGTCATCGTTTTGGAGGCAATAAGCTTAAAATTACGGTTCATCACATTAAGAATAAAAGTAAATAACTACAAACGGCATTGAATCATAGGTAACGTAAGAAGTAGTGAAATAAGAATTTCCCTGTCAGAAAAAATAATTTAAGACACACTGTGATATTATTAGAATTTTGTACAGGTTATCGGTACAGTCTCGAAAGTTCAGCTCGAGGTGAATCGTTTAAAGCGGGATCAAAACAGTGCCTAGTTACCGTTTCCTATGTTGGCCGATTTCTGCTATTTCGTGTCTTCTTCCCTCAAACATCGAAGGCAAAGACACAAAAACACAATAATAAGCTAACTTATTGAGTCTTTGCCTTCGACGTCGACTTTTGCGGGCGCCGATACGACGACACGATTCATTTTAGGCGCAATGATAATATTTTGATAGGCAAAGGTTGTCTTCTGTGAAATTGTCGTGTCGGTGGGTAGAAATCTTCGCATCGGCACTCTATAAGTTTCGTGCCGTAAGTATATTATCGTGTCTTCGCGTCTTTGTCTTCAGCTTTTGAGGGGCGAGGACACAAAATGGTAGAAATCAGCCACCATGGTTTCTCGGGACAGACATGCAGTACGTAATTCGTTTCTTCTCTGCAGATATATATAATTCAATATATTCTTATTAATGCAACACATTTTTCTTCTACTTAGACTGCCTTTGTAAGGTAGACAGAAAGTTTGTTGTTGAGAACAAAAAGAGACTAAAGGAAATAATAGCTGATGAAACATTTTTAAACCAGCTGTTGGAACAAATTGGTTTGACGACTTCAAACAGTACACTACAAAATGAAAAAGGAATAACTGACAAAAAATTGTCTATACGAGTATTAGATCTTTTGGAAGATGGAACTGCTCCACGAATTGCATACTGCTTGATAGAAGAACATATTAAATTGAAGGTCCCATCTGCTGTGGGGCTTTTAACCAAGTCGGGTAAGTCCTTTATCAAACATTGTGTTTTTACCATTTTTTCAAGAAAAAGCTTTAAGACAATTTAAACGTGTGTAAAGGAAAATACTTTTACCTTTGCATAGTTACAGAGTTAAAATTTATTTTTCACGTCACAGAAAGATGATTGTTACAGTGACAACAAAAATAACCTAGATAAAATATCAAATTCTAGGAAATGGAAATACACAAACAGTGCCATCTAAGTCGGATATTGACTTGCATATCGAATACTTGACTGAAGAACTTGAGATTCAAAGTTTCACGCCAATATTAAGTACATTGAAGACAAAATCGTCTATGATGCTTCTAGATGAATTAGAGAAATGTCCCTGTAGACGAACCCGCATAGTCAAATTTCTCGAATTTCTTAAGCTTCAAGAAGATATAACCTGGTTTTGGACAGAGGTTAAGAAAAAACAACACTATATTTTCGACACAATAGCGTCCTCAACAAGCCATAGCAAACTCAAAGAAGGTATATTTTACTTTTGCTTATTATACAACACTTGTGTTTTCATTTCATTAGCCTAAAATGTAAAAAAGTTCCCCAGTGTATGAAACTATTATCGTACACACATTTTAAGTGTAAAACGTAGCTTTTGTGGTGATATAATTTTAATAATGCTCTTCTCATATGATCCCAGAGTAAAACATCAAATATTCTGCTAACATGATATCGGCTGTGAGGTTTTTGTAATATATATTAAGATTTATTTGTTGTAAGATAGGATAGTGTTTTATGGCGGGTGCAATAAAAGTCATTAATATTATGCTATATTACACTCAGACCTACCTTGATGTTGTGATTAAATTAAATAAAAACTTTTATTTTCCTCTTGAAAGACAAATGCACAGTTGAAAGTGTTTAGGTTTATATACACCTTTACTTTGCAAAGTGGCAACGAAATATAAATTTTGTTGTTAAACAATGTACACAGCTCATTGACTTGATAAATGTATCCATATATCAGTTTCTTTAGTAAGGACCTTTTAAATAGCTCCTTAAAGAAGTGATTACTTGTTTAATATTAAAAAATGCCATTCTAAAATAGAAGCATCTAATCACTCTACTTGTATTTAACATTAAGATGATTTTTAAATGAATTTTAACGTGTTTCATTGCTTTCGATGGATCACCGCTTATCTATATTTTTATAATCACAACAGCAAGTGTTATGTTCTGTGTTGTAGCTGTAAAATGTTGCTCCGTATTCTCATCTCTGTATCGGTATTTCTATGGTTCGTCGGAATCATTGTTTGTAATGCTTAGTTGTGTTGGAAACTGAATATATTTAAGCCAATTTTAGGGGACGTGTGAGACGTTGCAACTTTCAGTATTTCAAATTAACAATCTCTGTCCAGTCGAGTTTGCGATTAAACAAAACTCATTGAAAGGAATGGTTGAAAACGTTATAATATGAAATACATCAACGGATTTGTCAATTTTTAGATCTTCTTGCTGTTAAATTAATGAATGACACCATAATAGAAGAGGTAGATCCAACTCTACTTTGGCAATACATGGACGAGAAATCAGCCGAAAAGCTTGGGAAAATTGAGTTCCGAAACATTACAAGCAGGAAACGTCAGACTCAGTATATGTTGAATAGATTGTCCTTGGCAAACATCTATGAGTTCATGAAAACATTACGTCGTTGTGGGTATGAAAACTTATATTCAGAGATTGATGCTGGTAATTTTTCTTTTGTGTGCCTTATCTTTTTCTAATAAAATTAGAGATACAAGACCAAAGCATAAAGTATTAATGTTGTCGGTCAATAAGGATAACGCAAATATATTCTTTGCATATTATCTTACAGGAAAATGCAAAATAAAAATGCTATTTTTTTATTTGAAGTAGTTATGTGTTTAAAAACATCCCTTTTAATGGCGAATTGTTAGGCAATCGTTAAAGTTTAAAAATGAGCATTTGTCCATAATCATTTGGATAAAATGAAGCTTTTTACTTGAAACAAGATTTCTTTCTCAGAACTTTTAACAACAAAAGATTTTTTTCTGGAAGAAGATAGACAAAAAAGTACATTTAATTTCTCTTACAGTTTTGCAAGCTGTAAAATTCAGTTCAATAACAATACTCGTACCGTTTTTGCTATCTAAACTCTATCCGTAGGGTCGTTATCAGAAAGATATGTCTGTCCTCGATTACATGAACTACATGGAAAAGGAAAACGTATTTTCAAGGGCCAGTTTGACATTGACACAAGGTGCAAGGAAATGGTTGACACCAGCAGTATGTATATCAATGGTTCTACAAAGTATTGTATTTAAACTTGCTTCGCAATTAAATTTAATGAATCGACAAGTATTAATGAGTACCGTAATTGCATGACGAACCATAGGACAATTATAAATGATGGCCATGATATTTGCAAATATTTGAGTATTTTAGATTGTGCACTGTACGACAAGATTTCTTTCTCAAAACTTTTACCAACAAAAGATTTTTTCTGGAAAAGTACATTTAATTTCTCTAACAGTTTTGCGCATATCGAATGGAAGCTGTAAAATTCAGTTCAATAACAATACTCGTACCGTTTTTTGCTATCTAAACTCTATCCGTAGGGTCGTTATCAGAAAGGTATGTCTGTCCTCGATTACATGAACTACATGGAAAAGGAAAACGTATTTTCAAGGGCCAGTTTGACATTGACACAAGGTGCAAGGAAATGGTTGACACCAGCAGTATGTATATCAATGGTTCTACAAAGTATTGTATTTAAACTTGCTTCGCAATTAAATTAAATGAATCGACAAGAATTAATGAGAAACGTAATTGCATGACGAACCATAGGACAATTATAAATGATTGCCATGATATTTGCAAATATTTGAGTATTTAAGATTGTGCACTGTACGACAAGATTTCTTTCTCAAAACTTTTACCAACAAAAGATTTTTTCTGGAAGAAGATAAACAAAAAGTACATTTAATTTCTCTAACAGTTTTGCGCATATCGAATGGAAGCTGTAAAATTCAGTTCAATAACAATACTCTTACCGTTTTTGCTATCTAAACTCTATCCGTAGGGTCGTTATCAGAAAGGTATGTCTGTCCTCGATTACATGAACGACATGGAAAAGGAAAACGTATTTTCAAGGGCCAGTTTGACATTGACACAAAGTGCAAGGAAATGGTTGACACCAGCAGTATGTATATCAATGGTTCTACAAAGTACTGTATTTAAACTTGCTTCGCAATTAAATTTAATGAATCGACAAGAATTAATGAGAAACGTAACTGCACGACGAACCATAGGACAATTATAAATGATTGCCATGATATTTGAAAATATTTGAGTATTTAAGATTGTGCACTGTACGATAAGATAGTCTTCTCAAATCTGTATAATTCATACATATTCCTCCCAATTTATTGATATTGTGACAAGATTTAAAAAACACAACAATTTTATATACATGAATACGTACATGAAAAATACTTTACTTATTATAAGTTTACAGTTAATTTACGCCCTTTTGTCATTTTTTCAATTACGTAGAACTTGATTATTTGTCTGTACCTTAAAATTGGAATTCAAAGGGGAATTCTGTAATATCATGAATAGCAAAATGAAATGATGTAATTAACAAAAAAAAACAAAACATTTTTGAATGCAATTACAGAGGGCATCGCGTGCCAACCATGTCGGTATCCCAGCTTTATCCGGTCATCTTTAATCAGTTCGCATGCCATTGGTAAGAAATTTCTATTTATCGAGTTGATCCACTAAGAAAAATGTCCGTCATTAATTTAGTAAAACTGTTAAAAGAATAAATATGCGATGTATAATATCCGATATATTTTACATGAATATATACGCTTAAGATATTTTTGTTTCGGCATTCCAACACAAACCAATCACAGATGGGTTTTTTTTTTTCAGAATTATCATTTTACTGCAAATGCGTAATATTAAACCTTTTTCTCTTTGTTGTTAAAAAATAAAACTCTCTTTCGTCCAGATTTTTGAAATTCTGTTTGAACTCTACAGAAGTCCGTTTATAAAATACTTCACTTGTTTATTCATAATATCAAGGTTTTTGACAGCTACATAATTTTATTCTGGACAGCTTTTAAGTACAGATGTATAATTGTTTGTGTTTTAAGATTTGTTTATCTTATATTTAGTGAAAAATAATGTCCATTCGTATTCTGATAAGGATAATCTTTGTTATGGATATTATATTAAATTTACTCATCTTTAATATTGATAAATACATGCTATTTCATTGTGTCTTTTTAATGAAAAATATAACACATATTTACGTGATTAGACAAATTCTTGTATTTCAGTCAATATATTTTGAAATGATGCATAATATTTTATGGCATATGCATAGAGTAAAATGAGTTCAAATTGAGTGGTAAAAGTCTCAGAATGTAATGCAATGGCAAGAAGCATTTTGCTCATATTGTTTAGTTCATTAAATTGAGCTAAAAGACTGAACCTGAATATTCCTTTTTGCAATAATTCTTACACATGTCGACGACAAATCTTTTGAAAAATATTAATTTCAATGTTTTAATGATGAAGGTACTGTTCAAGATTTTACACTGCATTGAAAGATATTCTTCTCAAAACTGTGTAATTCATACATATTTCTCCAAATGTATTGATATTGTGACAAGATAAACGAATAAGTCATACGTCTATTATTTTTATTTTGATACATAAAGGTAGAGAGACACTTTCTTCAAATCAGAGATATATATGCGAAAGGTGAGTTATGTTTACAAATACGAAGTGATGACGTTCACTAATTGAACTAAGCTTAAAAAAATGTTACTGATAAAAAAGTGTATGTTATCTTTAACTGTCCTGTTCATACACAAATTTGCGTAACGACATTAAAAATAGTTTGAGGAGTTTTACCGAATCCAACTGTACAAGATCATTGTTTAAATAAACGAAACAACTAATTGGCATAATGAAAACAAATTAACAATCATTTTCAAGGATTCAAATTATTTTCCGTGTGATGGAATAGCTGTCATTAAGATAGGAATTATGTATTATCCTGATGGACGCTTGATTACTCATTGACAATGAAATTTCGTAAAAAATTACGTCCGTAATACATCATTTTAGTTCTGATAAGATGTGCAGAGAAAGGGACATTACTGATACTAAACAAGAGTCAAACAGCAATTTACCTCGTTCATTGCGTACGTAAACCAAATTTTTATATATTCGTTCATTAAAACATCCTTTACCTATGAAAATGTTTAAAGTTAACTTACGCACTTATTCCATTTTCTGAAAACGTTAATTATATATTGTTCTTTTTTAATGAATCACTTAAATTAGAATTTATATGTGTACTTTCACAAGCCAAAACAAAAGAAAATGTGTAATCAATATATGTTTAATATTGTTAACAAATACGACTTAAAAGATTATAAAAATGAATTCGAAATTCTTAAAGACGTAATATAACAAAAAGCTCTTTTTTTATTGCAGTTACAGGGTACATCGCGTACCAGTCAGGTCGAGTGCAACAAAGTCAATCTACCAGCTTTTTCCGGCCATCTTTAGTTGGCTTGGGTGAAGTTGGTAAGGCATTTTTATTTATCGAGTAGATCCACTAAGAAAAAATCTCCGTCATTAATTTAGTAAAACTGTTAAAAGAAGAAATATGCAATATATGATATCCGACATATCTTACATGAATATATACGCTTAAGGTGCATGTACATGTATTTATATTACGGCATTCGAACACAAACTAATCATGGATTTTTTTTTATCAGAATGATCCTTTCACTTTAAATATGCAATATTAAGCTTTTTCGCTTTATAGTAAAATATCAAAATTCTCTTTTATCCACCTGTTTTTGAAATTCGATATGACCTTGACAACAGTCCATTAATAAACTACTTCACGTGTTTATACCCAGCTACATTTTTTTTTCTATACTGATAAAGCTTTCAAGTACAATATTATGTATTACTGTTTATGTTTCTCATATTTATTGAAAAATAATGTCCATTGTATTCTGATAAGGATTATATTTGTTATGTCTATTATATTAATTTAACTCCTCTTTTTGTTGATAAATACATGCTATTTCATCGTGTCTTTATGATGAAAAATATATCACATACGTTATATAAGACAAAGTCGTGCATTTCAGTCAATATATTTTGAAAGGATGTATGATAATTATGTAGTATAATAAGTTCAAATTGAGTGGTAAAAATCTCGGAATTTTATCCAATTGCAAGAAGCTCTTAAACCATTGAAAATAAATATGCCTTTCTTCAATATTCTTACACATGTCGACAGGCCGTTTGAATAATATTAAATGTGTTGTTTCAATCATGAAGGTACTGTTCAAAAGATGATGCGAATATATTCGTTAAATTTACAGAGTGCCTGTCAAATCGTCATCATATAATGAGATGATGGTAACTGAGGTTATTTATTTTATCTGTCACAACAGAAAACAAACAAATGTCGTTTTTATACTTAATAACTTATAACTGACGAGTAACAACAACTCCAAAAAAAATTAGTTCAAATAACACTTTGTTTATTTAAACTAACGTTCTTAATATAGAATTAAAGAACAATTTCTTTTTTCGTGTAATAGAATATTAAATAGAAAAAAATTGTTTTCTTAAGTTTTTTATGCATAATGTGCCACATGATTTCTGTCTCAAGTTTAACGACGAAACCAAATATACACAGTGTATGACGTAGTGGTTCATTTTCACTTCTGTTACTCTAAAAGATTCTACCTTGAGTGATTTTGCTTTGTTGGGTCTATTGTAGATAAAAGCCGACCGCCGAAATTTTCATACCAAACTACAAGACAGAATATTGTTCCAAATAAAAAGATGGCAAGAGTAGAAATGGTATGTAATTTTACGGAGCCGATCTGGTTAAAAAGGTTTAAGTTTTACAACTGCCACATTGTCAAAAGCTAAAATTCTTTCCAACTTTTACCATGTGACAAGTAAACTGATTGTTAAATATGACTGAATGTATTTTAATTTGCAAAATTTAAACGAATATCGTAGCTGGTGAACACACTCTTCAAGTGGAAGTAAGCTTTGTAAACAATACCTTTGATGAGACTCTCTGACCCATTATAATAGTTAGAGAGCATTCTATAGGATCATCTCATTATCAGTGGGTAGTTAATGCTACCCTAGTTTTGAATAATTTCATAATTTTACTTTAATTTACAGAGGCCATTGTATATGAAGAAGGCAAACGAAGAAGAGGAATGTAATTGATGCTTCAGTTTTGAAGTTTGTAAAACATTGACTACATTGTCAGTCTTGCGATAACAATAGTCAATGTTTATCAGTGTTATAATTTGATGCTGACGTGCGTTTTGCTACCTTCTGCGACATTTAGATCCAGGATTGTTTTATGTTCGTCTGTGAGACTTTGTCTTTGACTTATTCTTGCACCTCTCCATCAATATAAAAAGGTAGCAGGAAGAATAACAACTGCCTTACAACCTTAGAAAAATGGTCGATAATCCATTCGGAATTAATATTTGAGAAAATAAGTATGATCGTGCACACAAAAATCATATGTTTAATCAAACTAAAGACAAATGTGTAAGCGGTACAAGACACCATTTCGCCTTATCCACTATTGCAGACTCCTATTTTCTTTTTTTATGTTTACGTATTGTCAAGAATTTTTTTATGCAAGTCTAACCTTTTAACAGGAGTTCGTGACACAGATACTTGGGGTTTGGAGCTCAAAACGCCTTTTTAATCCAAATAAAATGCATATTTGTCAATCCCAGCACATATACTGATCATATATATCCAAAAAACTTAATATAAGCCGTTTTGAAAAAATTTCATATTTCAACATCTATTATAATACACAAGATAAAAATGTTCGCCGGAAAAAATCCGCACCCCTACCGTCATAATCACCATGTATTTTATTCCATTTCCAATATTTTCACATAATCCTTTGGTCCATCGACACAGAAGATATAATTCTTCACGATGATGGTCAATTTTAAACTTCAACGGTAATATAAACAACGCAACAGCCGAAACAAACATCAATTTTATCGCCGTTTTTTTCCAACTACAAAATCTTTCGATAAATTCAATGGACCAGACGGCTATGACCGAAGCTATCCGATTATGTGGTTCCCAAACTTAAAAGCGCTGCGCATTTTGCACGCGGCAAAGCTGGGGCCACAAAATCGGATTGCTTCGGTCATAGCCGACTGGCACGTTTGAATTTATCGAAAGATAATGTCATTGAAGGAAAACGGCGATAATATTGATGTTTATTTCGGCTGTTGCGTTGTTTATATTACCGTTGAAGTTAAAAATTGACCATCATCGTGAAGAATTATATCTTCTGTGTCGATGGACCAAAGGATTATGTGAAAATATTGGAAGTGGAATAAAATACATGGTGATTATGACGGTAGGGGTGCGGAATTTTTCCGGCGAACATTTTTATCTTGTGTATTATTATAGATGTTGAAATATGAAATTTTTTCAAAACGGCTTATATTAAGTTTTTTGGATATATATGATCAGTATATGTGCTGGGATTGACAAATATGCATTTTATTTGGATTAAAAAGGCGTTTTGAGCTCCAAACCCCAAGTGTCTGTGGTTCGTGACAGTCTATTACATTGTTGATGTATTTGTTTTGTGTTTTAAAATTGCGAAATAATGACCATATTATGACTAAGATGTCATAGAATGTTATTTATGTTTCTAAACATGTTTACTTTGCAATGTTTAAGAACATGCGTGTATGCTATAAAACCAATCTGTCCATTATTTTTATTATTTTTGTCAGGGCAAAATATTGTTTATTAACATCATTTTGTTGATGATTCATTCATTTTTTTAAATGCAGTATTTATTATAGTTGTTTGTGTTTATTTTGAACTTGTTCGTCATAAATTACATATTCATTGTATTTCATTCAATGACTATAACATTTGAATACGTATATTATATAATCATCATTTTAATCATTATCATCATCATGATTAAATGC